AATAATTTGTGCTGCTTGTTTTATTAACTTGATAAGTTCATCTTGTTGAATACCATCTCGTCTTTTATTAATTGGATAATAAAGACCTTTTATATATGGAATTCCAGCTGTAACATATTGTTCAAGAAATGATGGATAAGCAATAGGAGTAGTTTCTTTTCTATATGGATTCATTCCTCCAAGATTAATATTTACTGAACCATCAGAAAGAAATGTTTGATACATTTGACCTGTACCAGGTCCTGTTATATGAATATCCATATCACGTAATATTCGTAATTGAGCAATAAAATCATTGTCTAATAAATCATATGTTGATAATCGAGAATCACTAGGTGTTGATTTTATTTTAGAAGAAATATTTATTTTTGCTTTTATATTTCGATAATTAATATAAAATACTCGAATAAGTGGATATGGTAATTTTTTAATTTCATCTAGAGTTTTATTTATGTGCAAATTCGTATAATTATTAATTTGATTCATTGCATTTCGAATTTCTTCTCGTTCTTTTTTTGTAAAACGTTTATTATGAATGATATAAGCATGTAAAGGTTTATTTAATGAACGTTTTTCTGCTGAATGTTTTTGTCGAATCTCAACAGGAATAATTCCATGTTGTTTATACATTCGATCTCGAAAAAGTTTCGATCCATCGAGTTCAACACCTCCTGCTAATTGATAATTTGATTGAATACATCGTTGACACATCATACCACTACCCATTATTAATTCTTCAAATATAAACCATCGATTTGGCATAATTGAATCGATTATATTCGATTTGATAAATCCACCTCCAGCAAATCGACTATAGACATCTTCACTAAAACAACTATCACAATTTACATAATCTAATCCAACAAAGATACGAAATGGTTGAAGATGTCTAGGAGGAAAACGAATCAATGCAATGTAAGCTGGATAAAGTCCATCAAAAAGTGCATGACCAATATTTTTATGCCAACGTTGATTAAAATGAATTGTCACTCCTGGAAAAACGATTGGATCAATAGTAAAACGAACAAATTTATATAATTGTTCATATGTATCAAATACACGATGATTTGGTCGAAAATCTGTTGTAGCTAATGCTTCAAGTCGAACACCTGGTAATGATAAATTTGTTTTTTTTAATGATAAAGCCCAAAATTTCTGATTTGTATAATAAAGATTTTTGTAAAGACATGATTGATTATATCGAGGACCGACACATTTGACGGTCGTTACTAAAGATTGTAAATCAGTCGGAGATAACTTATAATTATCTGATAAAATATTCTTTTTATTAATATTAAAATTTGATTGAATACTATTCATATCAGACGAATATTGTCTATGTTTTAAAATAACAACAAGATTTCCTATAAATATAAATATACCAATAAGAATGAGAATAAATACTGATAAATCGATAATCCAGTTTTTTCTTTTTCCAGATAACATTTTTTAAAATAAATCAAATCTATTAATAGTTATATTGCGATGAGAATACAAATTTAATTTTAAATAAATTATTTATTCTTTATTTTAAATTTATCATTTTACCGATTGTTTTATTTCATCAAACTAAAATAGAAATAATATATACATCGATATAGACTGTACAGAAACTCATTTAACAAAAGTTCTATCGTCTGACCTCGCAGTCGCACTATATTTCCTATATTTTTTGACATTAATCCTATAACAGACTATATTTTGATCATTTTTCCTATATTCCTATATTTTTTCAAAAATCGAAGATTCTTGTGAAGAAAGTTGACTTTTTGAGTGCTCAGGGGGATAGAGGAATCTGTGGAAAGCTACCTCCTCCTCCCCCTTGGGTAGAAGGTATGGATGACGAAAGCTACCTCCCCCTTGGATGGAATATGGGAATGGCGAAAGCTTTAATTTATTTTTTAAACATTTTTATTGTATTTATGTGTAAAATGGTTAAAAATAATTCGAACCGAAATTGTTATTTTTATTGTTGAAAAATATTTCTGTGTCATTGCTTTTCGCTACTTGATGATACTTTTTTATTTAGCTTATCGGACAAATGTACAATATTAACCTCATTACAATCTACGATATTGTTACAGTTTTTCTAGACGTCAAAAAAATTTCGTAGGGGAAAATTAACGCCCTGTGTATTTCCTATATAGTTCAAGACGGTTCTATATATCTTTGGACTCTAAATTCCTGTATATTCCTATATTTTTTTCACAAGGCTGCTGCGAGGCTAGCCTATCGTATATCTTTACTATTTCATATAGCTTAAGGCTCCTCTCCCTCAAAAATAGATCTCAGCTCATCAACACCCAAATTATATGAGACTTTCAGAATACGTTGGAGTTTGTGATTCATCACTACAGTCAAATTTTTAGCCCTGGTGTACGAGGTTTGATAAAGATATGTACTCAAACACGACTCAAAAATAGCTCTATTCTATCTCCAAATTTTCTCTGTGAGCTTCAGTTCTAGGCATTTAATTGTTTTTTGTTTGAAAGTGCATGTCAACAAAAAAGATGGAGCGAACATTCAATGAATCAAAAAGTCTCTCTAAAAGTTGGTCTATCCCAATGGAGATGTTATCTTTTATAATAATAATAAAAACTTATTTTAAAAAAGGACCACGAGAGACGCTAACTCTAAACACAAGCTTAAAAAAAAATAGTTGGTTTTATCTCTTATTGTGATAGAGATATGATGGATTCACATCCTGAGACAAACGAAAAGAGGGGGTGACGAAAGTCTTCCAAAATCTTTTTTTGGAAAAAAAAGAGATGCTAATTAAATACATTTGTCGTACATGAAAGAACAGATGAGAGATTATTTCTCCGTGAATTTATCTTAATTTGGATAATTTTGGTGAAAAATGACTTTTTTGAGAGGCACTTAATCAAGAAATCTTTTTTAAAATAATAAATGTAAAACAAATATCTTGAATCACAATAGAAAAGTTTTTGTTTTTATTTGGTATTCACATATGATTAGATAGAATTCATCGAGTTGTATAAGAATATCTATATTCAAAAATGATTTAGCATTTTTTTTAAGAGCAATATTTATAGAAAATTACTGGAAATTATCGACACCAATAGTAAAAACAAAGGAATAAAGAAAAAAAAAGAATCGTGGCAGAACATAATAAATAGAGATTGTTTAACAATTGAGGTATTTTCATGAACTGAAAGGAACTTTTACTCTTTTTTCAATCATATTCCAAATCGATTTTATTTTTAGACAATAAGTACGACTTCGATCAACATTTTATTCGATAAAAAGTTCAGGATAACAAACTAATGTCGACGTCAGAAATAGATGAAGAAAACTCTGAGACGAATATTTCAAGAACAGAAGCAGATAGAGACCTGCAGTTTTCATCATTGGAAAGAGCTATCTCAGAGGTATCGATCTCTATAAGATTGATTAGGTGCCAAGAGTTTTTTAGATTATTACCTCTGCATTTATATTTTGTTCGTTATGGATTTTCACCATTCTTCCGACGAACTTCAACAAAAATTATATGAAAATATAGTCCAAAACACCATATATTCATGGTTAAATTTATTACGATCTCAAGAAACTTCATCGAAGATAAACGCTGAGAAGTTAGTAAAAAATGATGGAAATTTAACCATGAATATATGGTATTTGTAGAGGTAATAATCGAAAAACTCTCAAAACCTAATGAATCTTATAGGATCGATACCCATGAGGTAGCTCTTTCCAATGGTGAAAACTGCACGTCTCCATCTGCTTCCGTTCTTGAGATATTCATTTTAGAGTTTTCTCCATCCATTTTTGGTGCTGAGATTAGTTATATAGTTAAGGTATATTTACCTTGCAATACAACAGAAATAAGAGAACTGAGGTGACGGTGAATGTCGAGAAAGTAAATACATGTCGTCGTTATGATTTCATAAAATGAAAAAGAAAAATCTGTAAGTATTTGAAGAAAGAAAGAAAGAAAAAAATCATGCTTAAATAAAATTGTTTGCAAAGCAATAAAAGTAGTATGTTGCCAATAGAACATATGAAACTAGTAAAATTTGATGCAAGTTTATTTTTAATGTTGATACGAACATTTTAATTAAATTATTATTGATGATAAATTTCCAAGTTGGAAACTATTCTATGAAGATTATGTTAGATTTTACAAGGTTTTAACGATAATCTCATATCATAAGATCGAATATTTCTTGTTATGAAATAATTGCATAAACCTTCTAAGAATTCGATTATTAGATTTTTCTGTGCAGACATAAGAATAAACGATGAAATTCATTTGATTAATTAATTCGATGCAATAATGTTGTCAAAAAAAAAACTATAATTTGTATAATTGAAGAAATTTTTAAATTAGATAAATAAAACATTTTTTATTTTCTTTGCTTAGAGCAACGTAGTTCAAATGTAAATACTAAATAGCGTAAAATAAATAATTTTTTTCATATTCAGTTTAAAATCAAAAATGTGGCCACCAATACGCAGATTACTGCGTAAAGTAGTGAACAAATGAATAAAAAGCTAGTAAACGTATTCTCCTGATCTTATGAGAGAACCTTCTTAAGTGTCCCTCTTGGATTTCAATAATATTTTGTCTTTAGATACTGCACAGTGGTGTAATAAAAATCCCAAAAGCATTTTGAGTTGATATTGAAATATAGTTCAGTTATTAGATTCTATTTTAAAGAGACCTAAGGGAAATTTTTCCGAAATTTTTCACAAACACTCCCAAATATAATGGTTTCCAAAGAATATACCTTCTGTATGCTGTTATGAAAATGGACGTACATTTCGAAAGTCATAAGATCCAACACTTCTGAAATATTTCGTTGAAGTTATTCTTGATGAGATCTCAGCGTTTGAGGTCAAACTTCGAAAATAAAAATTTTCCCTCAGGTTTCTTTAAAATAAAATCTAATAACTGAACTATATTTCAATATCAACTCATATCCTTTTGGAATTTTTATTACACCACTGTGCAGTATCTATAGACAAAATATTATTGAAATCCAGAAGGGACATCTAGAAAGGTTCTCTCTGCAAGGGTGTGGGTGTGGGTGTGGGTGGCTGGGTGGGGTGTGGGTGTGTGGGTGTGGGTGTGGGGTGGGTGGGTGTGGGTGTGATAGAACGAATAATCCACACCGACACCCACTCTACACCCACACCCAGTACACCAAGGGTAAAATTAGAAGGAGCAAATAGTATTTCTTTCAGTATTTTCGGTATGTCACGACGCTTAGGCTTCTCAATCGCTTACAAAATTTATTTATGATGCACTTTTCAGTGAAGGGTTCGATTCAGTTTTCCACGGATTACACGATGGTATAGATTTTATCTCGAAATTTCATTCAGCAAAATTTTCCTTTTGCAAATACTGCCTACACTATCCCTAAATTTTGGAAGGGTGTGAGTATGAAGTGTGGGTGTGGGTATGACTCTTCTCTTAGCCCATACCCTCGATCTCGAATGAAGATTATTGATTGGAAAAGTTAATGGGGATCAAAGGCTGCTGAGTACATTACAATAAATTTTATGCTTAGATTCTTCTGGAACACTCGAAGTCCTTCCTTAGATTTCCAATTGTCATAATATGTTTTTGAGTTTTGAATTCGGTAGATAAGCAAGTATATGGTATATGTCATAATGATGCTTAATAATACATTGAATTAACACAGGCGTCATACAATGGAGTTCTAACTTTCATTATTAATCGATATGAGAGTTTATTTATCAGAATTGTGTGGGTGTGGATGTAGGTAATTTTTTCTCTCATATCCAGACCCTTTCTCCAAACATCAACACATACGCACACCCTGACTTTTTTAAAAGTAGAGTGCATATGCCACCTGCGATCTGATTTCTTCGTAATGTCACTATTTGTGAAAGCTTTTCTTCAATCAGACAGTTTATGACTAATATCTTTATGAACTGAGACTAAGTTGTAAGAGTATATAAGTAGGGTCGGTTCGGTTCGTTATAAAAAAAAATACGAATCAATCCCATATCTGATGTTTTCATCATGAAACAAACATATAAAAAGAAGGAGAGACAAGTTAAATTATCAACGCAAAGTCCAATGAATCATCTACTATCATAACTGGATGATCTCAATCTAGCAAAAAACACTTGTGTCAAATGGATTGGAGTTATTCAAATCAGTATAGTAGAACGATTGATCCGATTTCAGATCAAAAATTGAACCAGTTATCAGAGAGCGAAATCGAATCGAATAGGCGAATGATTCGATTCGGCTCAGATGAATCGAATCGAATCAGATTGAGATGTCTCATTCAACTTTTTTTTTCTTTCGATCAGGTAATAATAGTACATGATAATGATACTTGACTCAGATGAAGAACACATATACAAAATAAAACAACACTAATTCAGAAGTTATAATTAACTTCTCCTAATTGCTGTAAACAGATGTGTTAATCTTGAACATGTCATCA